AGTTTTGGATTCCCAGATCCCAATCTACTTCAAGCGCCTTCCTACTTCAAGAATCGACACGCTTTTACTGTGTTTTGTTATTCTCTGGGGAGGCCTGGACCCAATCCACTTTATCCGCCTTCCTACTTCATGTTTTTACCTACTTCTTCCGACCGACGTGTACGTCATTGCTGGGATCGCATGCCGGTGCTCGGATATCCTAACAGACCTCCCGACTTCCGTAGCACGAGCATCAGAGGAGGGCGAGCTGAGACAGTGGCGGCTCTCCCGCCCGGCCCGAACCAGCTCAGCGTCGCTCCGTAGCCTTAGTGGCTCAAGCCGTCGGCAGGGCCCGTCTGCATGCCCATCGGCAGTATACCGAGGGTTTGATCTCTGTTGTCCTCCATGGACTCTTTGTGGCTCTGCGGGTCTGGCGGGCTTGACGACGCAGAGTCTGCACTACCTAAGGAGAGTGATGTCCGTGCCGATGCAAGAGGACCAACTCAGCTTCCAGGTGCCGTCACGGTGGAAGCAACTACTCAAGCCAGTGCTGCATCAGATGCTGGATCGGGATCCTCGGGTGCGAGTTCAAACGCTGGATCGGGATCCTCGGGTGCCAGTTCAAACACAACCGCTCTCGGAGCCCTGCGACTGGCTTTAGCAGCCCTACTGCCAACGAACGTTATTGCAAACGTGTGGTCATGCGCAGGGAGTCACACAAGCAATACCGCGGTCTGTGAAGAAATTCCAGATTATGAGGTTCTGGCATCCGTGGCAAGATTGTCGAGGCCAGAGGTTCTCAGGGTATCTACGCCGGATGGGGGAGACGAAGCACCTGAGATGTATTTGTGCGACTCACCCAGTCTCAACATTCGTTTAGCTGCAGGACGATATTGATCAGGCGTGCACTGCGTGGATTCGTTGATGAATACTCGGACAGAGGGCCCATTCCATTTCTCCCTCCCTCCCTTCCTTCCCTCTCCTCGTCCCTCCCTTCCCTCTCCTTCCCTTCCCTCCCTTCCCTCTCCTCGCCCCTCCCTTCCATGCTATCTTCTCCCTCCCTTCCCTCTCCTCGTCACTTCGTCCTGCGAGCGACCTCCGCTGGTCGCTGTTCGCCCACCCGTGCTCCGGGTTGACGCCCTGCAGGCTAACCCGACGAGCGTGCCACTCTGCCAGCAGCGCATGCGCGGGCTCAAGTTCCAGGCTCGAGCAAGCTTGGCCAGCGAGTTCACACCCAGGGTCGGCAGAGTCCTGGGCGGGCCTTTTCTGTCCCGTGTCACGTACTTCCGGCATTGCTCGTTGATCGTTGTTATCATTGATCGTTGATATCGTTGAGCGCGTTATCGTTGAGCGCGGCCATTCTGTTGAGCGCGTTATCGTTGATATCGTTGATATCGTTGAGCGCGTTATCGTTGATCGTTGATATCGTTCGTACGGCAGGAGAAAAGCATTGATATCGTTGTTATCGTTGAGCGCGGTCCTCCTGCGGCGGAGGGGGGCTCGCGGGATGGGGGGGGGGAGCGGGGCGGGGTACCCGGGAGTCGGGTGGAGCCCTCAGGGGGGGCCCACCCTGGCCCTCGGGGCTTTCCCCTACACCCCTTGGCTCTTCGCTCTCGCGTGTGCACTTTTTTTCTCGGCGAGGACCATCTCGAGGGCCATCCTGGACCCTCGAGCGCACAAAGACACGCACGAGGCCGAAACATGCGCGGGAAATGGACGTCCGAGCGACGGCAGGACACCGCCTGGACCCCCCCCCCCCCCCCGGGGCCCGCGCCCCGCCTCCTGGGGCACGCGCCCCGCGTCGCGCTCGGCAGGGTGCGGCCCCGATCGGGGAGGGCCCTCGCGGCCCCTTCTCTTTCGGCGCCGGCGGGTGTTTTGCGCGACTCCAAGTCGAGCACCCGGTGAAAGAGATCACCCGTTGAGGGCCTCTTTCTTTATTCTTCTCCGTTTATGAACCTGAGAATCGTTCAGGGTATTCTGCCGCCAACGGTGTATGCCTTTTCCGCGCCCAAGAGGCGCCCTGTCACGCGTTCGTGTCAGATTTGACTTGCCGGCTTTAGCATAACTGGTGCTATCCAGCTGCCTCCGGCAATTCTGCCACCGTGCCAGCGCAGCATCCAGGATGCCAGTCATTCGAGAAGGCAAGGGGGGCCTGCTGGGGGCTTCTTGGGGCAGCGGGCTAGAATTCTTGGTTCCTGTTCCCGCTCTTGGGCCCTTTATTTGGGCCGTCTTGGGGCCCTCTTGGGCAGACTTGGGCGCCTCTTGGGCCGTCTTGGAGCCCTCCTGGGCCGTCTTGGAGCTCTCTTGGGGGCCTCTTGAGCCGTCTCGGGGGATTCCTGTCTGGGGGCCTCTTGGGCCGTCTTGGAGCTTCGGAAGCTCGAAAAGGCGAGAACCCAAAACACATTGAAAACGCAATCGAAAATCAAAAGGGTTTTGCCTCTTGGGGGAGGGCTATTGGGGGCCTCTTATGGCCCTCGTGGGGCCTCCTGAGCCCTCTTGGGGCGGAAGGCTCGAATTGTCGGTTCGTGTCCACCCTCTTGGGTCGTCTAGGGTCCGTCTCATGGCTTTCTTGGACATTCGGGCGCCTCTGGGGCCGCGTCTTGGAGCCCTCTTGGGCCCTCTTGGGGCACTCTTAGGGGCATCTTGGGCCGTCTTAGGGCACTCCTGGTGGCCTCTTGGGTCGTATTGGGACGCTGGAAGCTCGAACAAGCGAGAACCCGAAAAATATGGAATAATTCATGACAGCAATTTGTTTTTGCATCTCGGGGCCCTCTTGGAAGCGATCTTGGGCCGTCTTGAGGCCAAAGTTGCCTTTCTAGGAATGTTATTGGGCCGTCGTGGAGGCACCCGGGCCTCGGGAGTGCCAATCTGTCATATTTTGCGAGGGATTGTGGCTTCGGGAGGAGTGGATGGTGCACGCAGTTTGGTGCTTCCCGAGGGGAGGGGTGGCCCTAAGAAAATTACAGAAACCCTACCAGACAGCACAAGGTATTATAGCACTCCCCAACGTGCCAGGGGGCGCGGTTGCGGAATCTTTTTTTTAAAGGCATGCCTGCTTTGAGCAAGGCGTGCTGAAGCCAATAACCTCTAGCGTTCCCCCCTGCAGTGCCCCGCTTTTTTTCGACTTGCCTGAGTCTAGAACTGCTGTGCCCATCCATTGCTTGGGCCCCATCCTGCACCACTCTCGCGGTGTCACATGCAGGTCACAGCCACCAGGCAGCGCGTGCTAGCGGGCATTCGCCGCGCCGAGTCCTTGTTGCGGGTCTCGAAATAGAAAAACAGCATAAGCACAAATTTGCGGCGCTGCAAGCTGATTTCTTGCATGTGCGCCCAGCTGCCCTGGCAGTGCCTCCGGCGCTGCCCCTGGCGCGCCCCGCGCGCTGGGGAGGGGGCCCGGAGCAGATCCACGCAATCCGCGCGGATTTCCGAAAGTTTATGTTTATTGAGTTTTTTGTTCCCCTAGGGTTTACCTCCTCTAGGGTTTGCGCGCTCTGCTCTGTTACGGATTTCCGGCGCACCTTCAAAATGGACAGGAACTGCCGTCGGTCTTCGCCCCCCTCACTTTCCGTACCCAATTCGCTCGTCAGAGTGGTTGGGTGAACGTCTTTGGTGAATCCGAAATCCGCTCTACATCGCTCCCCAGACCCCTTTCTTGGTGCATCCTGACACGTTTTTCAGTGTGGACCCAGCCGTGGCGTCGAGAAGCCTCAGGGAGGCCGAAACAAAAAGCGGAAAGACCGAGAAGGCTGCCTCAGAAGGCTGCCGTTGTCTCGGCTGGCCCCCTTCTGGAAGAAGTACCCCCTGTCACAAGCACTCTCGCAGAGTCGTCGTGTTCATCCCCTTCGTATTTGTAGGGGAGGCTCCTCCTCGCTGTCCCCCGTTCCTTCTCGACGCTTCCGTTTGCCGGGTTCCCGCTTCCTTGGATGAGAAGGAGGGGTGTCGGAGGACGAGGACGAGGACGAGGACGAGGAGGAGGAGGAGGAGGAGGAGGAGGAGGAGGAGGAGGAGGAGGAGGAGGAGGAGGAGGAGGAGGAGGAGGAGGAGGGAGGGAGGGAGAGGAGGAGAGTGGAGGAGAAAGAAGGAGGGAGGAGGAGAAAGAGAAGGAGAGGAGGAGGAGAGGAGGAGGAGGAGGACGAGAGGAGGAGGAGGAGGAGGAGGAGGAGGAGAGGAGGAGGAGGAGGAGGAGGAGGAGTAAGGAGGAGGAGGAGGAGGAGGAGGAGGGGGAAAGGGGATGAGGGGAATTCAGGCCGTCCAAATGGAACAGATGGTGTCGGAGGATCGCGCCACATCCCCAATGCATTGGCTGTGCGGCGCGATCCAGAGAACGGTTTTCTCCGTTCCAGCTTCGGTTGCCGACGCATCGCAAGGCGGTGCGATCCTCCGACCCCCTGTTTTCGGGCCAACTTGGTTGGGGAGACGAGTGGGCGGAGGAGGGAGGAGGCGGAGGAGGAGGAGGAGGAGGAGGAGGAGGAGGAGGAGGAGGAGGATGAGGAGGAGGAGGAGGAAGAGGAAGGAGGAGGAGGAGGAGGAGGAGGAGGAGGAGGAGGAGGGAGGAGGAGGAGGAGAGGAGGGAGGAGGAGGAGGAGGGAGGGAGGAGGAGGGGAAGGAAGGAGGAGGAGGAGGAGGAGGAGGAGGAGGAGGAGGAGGAGAGGAGGAGGAGGAGGAGGAGGAGGAGGAGGAGGAGGAGGAGGAGGAGGAGAGAGGAGGGAGGAGGAGGAGGAGAGGAGGAGGAGGAGGAGGAGGAGGAGGAGGAGGAGGGAGAGAGGATGAGAGGAGGAGGGAGGAGGAGGAGAGGAGGAGATGAGGAGGAGGAGGAGGAGGAGGAGGAGGAGGAGGAGGAGGAGAGGAGGAGGAGGAGGAGGAGGAGGAGGAGGAGGAGGAGGAGGAGGAAGGAGGAGGAGGAGGAGGAGGAGGAGGAGGAGGAGGAGGAGGAGGAGGAGGAGAGCAGCGGAGAGCAGCGGCAGGACGTCGCGTCGGCCAGGCCAACTAGACGCAGCACAGGCGGCCAGGGGGCCGCAGCCTCAGGGGAGGCCAGTGATGCCGATCACGTCGACGGACGCGAAGGGCGGCGCGCTGGGGCCAGACCGCCGCGCAGCGCCTTGCGGCGAGCCGCTGGGGCCAGAACGCCACGCAGCGGCTGCCCGTGCCAGGAGAGGCCGACCTTCAACCACTTCTCCGTCGCCTCCTGCGTCCCGCATTCCACGGCACCGAAGGCGCTCTGAGCGGGCCAATGGGCGGTGGCTGCCCTTCCCGCCGCAGCTCGGCCAGCCACGTCCGCAGGCACACGTAGTCGTAGCGCCGCATGCAGTCCGACACGATCCTCTGCGACCGCGTCAGCGTGTGGCGCCACCTGTAGTAGGCCCGCCTCGCGGGCATGCCAGTCCCCCAGGCCCGTTCGCAGATCTCCTCGGCCATATCCTCGGCCGTCCTCCCACGCGCCCGCAGCCTGGTGGCGAAGCGCGGCTGGGACAGGATCTGCGTGACGTAGCCGACGCAGTGGTCGAGCCACTCGCTGTAGCACTCCATCGTCTCGCCGACCTCGGGAGCCTGGGTCCAGTACCGCGCCCATCCAGCGACCTGCAGCTCAAGCCTGGGCGCGACGCTGCGCCTCGGCTGCGCTGGCTCAGGCCGAGCCACCGCAACTCTGCCAGCACTCAGGGCGGGGCCGCACACACGGTCGGCACTTGCAGGTCCCCTGCCACCCCTGGTGCTGGCCATGCACATGCCGTCGCGGTCCGCGTCGCTTCCTGGGCTCAGGGCGGGGCCGCACTCACGCACGCACATTGCAGGTCCCCTGCCACCCCTGGCCCAGGCCGTAATCCGTCGCCGCTCGGGGTGGGTGCTGGTGCTCAGGGCGGGGCCGCACTCAGGACCGCAAACTGCAGGTCCCCTGCCACCCCTGGCACCAGCCGTAGCTGCACGTGGACACGCCTCCCCAGAAGCCAGCTGCGGCTGCCGCTGGTCCTCCTCAGGCGACGCCGCTTCCAGAGACCCGCTGCCAGTGCCCAGGGCGGGGCCGCACACAGGACTGCACTTTGCAGGTCCCCTGCCACCCCTGGCGCTGGCCATACCCTTGCCGTCGCGGTCCTCGTCGCATCCTGGGCTCAGGGCGGGGCCGCACTCACGCACGCACATTGCAGGTCCCCTGCCACCCCTGGCCCAGGCCGTAAATCGTCGCCGCACGCGGTGGGCCTGGCTGCCGTCGCCGCCAGTGCCCAAGGTGGGGCCGCACTCAGGGTCGCGGCTTGCAGGCCTCCTGCCACCCTTGTCACTGGCCATGCCTGGCAGCGCCCGCTGCGAGTTGTCAGACCTGCCAGCACTCAGGGCGGGGCCGCATTCGCGACCGCACTTTGCAGGTCCCCTGCCACCCCTGGTGCTGGCCATATCGGTAGTCGAGAACGGCTGCGGCGGGCTGCTCATGTCCTGAGGGCTGGTCACGGCGCCCTCCTGGTGGTCCGTGGTCAGCGTCACCTCGTGTGCCAGGTCACACCTCAAGGGCGCAGGCAGCCGCGACGGCCCCGCCGCCAGACAGGCATCGACCACCCCCACGTCTGGGGCAGCTGGCGGCGGCTGGAGCGTCACCAGTCCAGTGGTGCCCCCGTCGGGGCATTGGTGCGCTCCATAGGCCGAGGGCAAGCTGCCGTCGGCCATGTCTCCCTCATCACGCTGCGCGCCGCTGGCGGCTGCTGGACCACGTTCGGCTAGCAGATGCTGCTGCCTTCGCTGCATCCGTTCCAGGAGCTCCTGCCGTCGCACCCGCCAAGCAGGCTTCTTGGTCTGGACTGCGTCGGAACCTCCAGCCCCTGCAGGCACCTCGCGCGTCTCGTGGTCCTGGCCAGGCCTGGTCGCCTCGCCCTGTTCCTTCTGCGCGTGCCTGCCGCTTGGCCGCTCTGCAGCGCCGTCGCCCCCAGAGGCCATGTCGCCCGCGGCCGCGCTGGCCGCCGCTGTGGCCCATGTTCTGGGGCCGTCTGGAGCCTCGCCTGCACCTCCCCAAGTGAGCACCTTTCCTGTCTTGGGGTGCAGCCCTTGGCTGAGCTTCTTGAGCCGCGCCCTGAGGTTGGACAGGTAGGTGCGCTGGTTCTTGCCCTCGGCGCTGGGCGGGCCAGCGCAGGGCGCAGCCAGGGCCAGTGAGGAGCCTGTCGCCGCCCACGCCACGCATACCTCGCAGTAGATGGTGGGCCCTGCGCGCCTCAGCCTGTGCCCCTGCATCTCGATGGTGCCGTCCCCTGAGCCCCAGGGGGCAGGCTCGGCTGGCCTGGGCCCCGCATCTTCGGGGCACGCCGCGCGCTCGATCGCCTGCATAGCGAACTCGCCCGCCTCCGAGACCACAATGGGCTGCGCGCCGACGTGCGCGATGATGGCCTCGGCCCGCAGCGCGGTGTACTGGCTGGCCTCGCAAGCTGAACGCGCGAACTGCGTCCATGTGGGCCCCGTCTGCCCGCTGGTCTGCCTGCAGCAAGCGCGGCACAGCACCACCGCCGTCCCGTTCAGGCGAACCAGGGAGTGGCTGATCACAGTCGCCGCCTGCACCTTGGGCACCTTTGGCGGGCGGGCTGTCTGCTCGGGCGCATCCCAGCGGCCTGCGTGCATCGTCCTCTGCATCGCCCAGCCGACGTACTTTGCCAGGCTCTTGTAGTGTTGCAGCTCGATGTTGTAGAACTCCTCGTACACCTTCGACACGGTGTGCTGCATGGCTCCTTGCCGAGCGAACCAGTCGGCCCACATGTTGCCAGAGTACAGCAGCGGGTGGAGGCCTCGGTCCAAGTACGCATCCATGTCCTGATGCGCGGGGATCCATCTCACTTCAGGCCGCGCTGGCTGGGCACGAATCCGTCTCCACACTGTGGCATGTGCCGCTCGCGCCTCCTCTAGCTCCTGCCCCCAGTGGCTGCATTCCTTCTCCATCGACAGAAGGTCGGTGAAGACGAACTCGAGCTGCGGCCCCGCGAGCCGCAATGCCTGCAGCAGCGCGTGCCTCTCCGCGCGCCCGACCGTCTGGAGCGGCCCTGGCAGCGCCCCGAACGCCGCCCGAACAGGCAGTCCCTGGAGGGAAAGCTGCACGAAGGCCCATCCGCAGCGCCTCAGCTCGGGCATGCTGGACGCGAAGCCTGAGCCATCGGTGAAGACGGCGTTGCTGCAGGAAGCCGTGTCCGCCCCTTGGCTAGGCCAGCAGCCCCAGAACTTCACCTCGGCCTGCTCCGCGGCGGGCGGCACGAATGGCGGCATGCAGGGCAAGCACATTTGGAAGTCGGCGCTCTCGAAGCTGCCGCCCTCCTGCAGGCCTTTGTCGCACATGAAGGTGCGGATGGCCTGCATCGGCTCGGGCGGCAGCTGCTCGTCCTGCTCCTCCTCTGTGAGCGGCTGCACGAGTACCTCGCAGCCGAAAAATCTGTGCCCAGGCGAGTCGGACGGATGTCCGCAGGCCCTGCAATTCGGCGCCGCCGCCAGCCCAAGGTCGTGCTGGGCCTGTTGCGTCCAGGCCACCGTCGCCCAGTGGTGACGCAGGCTGGTGGCCGACGGGCCCTCCGCCAACGCCGCGCGCCCGTCGCCCACGCAGAGCCGCATGGCCCGCACCCAAGGCTTGACCTCGCCGTGCTGGCGGTGGTGCGCCGCGATCTGCCTCGCCTGCCAGCGTTGCACGCCGCCGGTCAGATGCATCCTGACGTCCTTCGGGCACGTGGTGAGGAGGTTGATCGCCGTATCCTGGTCGGTGACCAGGGTCGTGCTGGAGTACATGTGCCATCCGATGCGCCAGAGCGTCAGCGTGACGGAGGCGATGGGACCGCGAGCCCCTGCCCAGGACGGGCGCCCCACGAGCCGCTCCGTGACCTTGGCCCAGGCCCTGTGGAGCCTAGCCAGGGAGGTGCGTTGTTCCCAGATCCAGCTGGCGTATCGGCAAACGATGTCGCAGGTGGCGCCGTAGATGGGGTCGTACTCGCGCGCCTTCTGCGTGGCTAAATACACCGTGACGCTCGATGCACCTGGCCGAGCCCCTGCAAGCCTGCCAGCCTCGGCCCTCAGCACCTGCAGCGTATCGTCGGTGAGCCCTGACACCCCAGCACCGTGCGCCGCACTCGGCATGAGGCCCGTCTTCCACAGGCAGGTAGCGCGCCTGCCCACTGCCCCTTTGAAAGCTGCCAACTTGCCGCGCCGCTCCTTGAGCTGCCGCACCCGCTTTGCCGTCTGGAGCCTAGCGATTCTGCGCCCGCCCAGATCGTGCCCCAGGTTGCGGGCCCAGCGCATCTTGGTCAGCTTGCGGGCCGCCGCGTGTCGGGCACACTCGCGAGCAGCCGCGTCCGATGAGACCAAGTAGCCCGACTTGGTGGGCTGCACGACAATGCCTCGCTCCTGGGCGCCCTCGCGGAACCTGGTGGTGGCCGCCCAAAGCACGCCCAGTTGCGAGAGCCGCCTCCCGCGCCACTGCAAGGTGACGTCGTCGATGAGGGCCCTCGGGGTGACGCCTGCATCTCGCACCTGCTCGAGCAGCCTGAACATGAGCAAGGTGACCATGGCACAGGCGTGAGTGCATCCTGCGAGCACGCCCTGATGTGACACGACCGCGTAGGACACCGAGCCGAAAGCTTGCAGCCGCCTCGGCTGCCTGTATAGCTCAATCAACATCCAGACCAACCGCAGCGGCATGCCCAGCAGCCGCGCCTCGATGAGTAGCCACTCGGGCTTAATCGTCTCAAAGAACTTCCAGGCGTCCAGCATGACGATTACGACGTGCTCGTCCAGGCAGTCCGATACCTCCGTCTCAAGGTTGAGGTCGAAGGCGGAGTCGGAGGAAGATCTGCCGCCGCCCATGCCCCAAATACTGGCATTGGGGTGCGCCGTCAGCCACGCCTTGGACGTCGAGGCACGAGCCCTCGACCACCATCGGATTAGCGAGTGCATCAGCGTGATCAGCCTGCAGCCGCCAGAGGCCTTGGGGATGCGGCACATAGCGTGCCACAGCCTTTCGCTGGGCCAAGCCCCCAGCGCCTCGCACTTCATGAAGAGCTGGCCGCAGGTGTAAACGCCGTCGTCCGTGAGAAAGGTGAGCGCGCGCATACCGATCTGCGCTGGGCCGAGCGCCGTGGTGGTGGGGAAGCTGCAGGCGGCCCGCTGCAGCGCCTCCACGGTGAGGTCTTCGAGGTCGTCCCATTCGTCGAAGTCAGCTGGCCTTTCCAGCGCCTCGAGCTTGTGGCACGACCAGACGTCCTCCCAGGCCTTCATCTCCCGGTCGCAGATCAGGTGCTGGCTGGCGACCTGCTGCTGCGGGACGAAGGTCTGGGCGAGCCGTCCAGTGGTGAGCTCGGTGTGGGTGCCCTGCCATTGCGCCAGCACCTCCTGCATCGCCCGCAGCTTGGTGAAGCGGTGCGCCTTGCCAGCGCCGTTCCGCAGGCTGTCGTTGGCCCACTGGATCCAGCTCTGCTGCCTGACCTTGAGCGCGTCCGCGTGGGCGTCCTTGGCGAACTGGACGATGCGGCCCGCCTGCTCCAGGAAGTCGGTGTTGCCGATCACGCGAAAGCCCTGCTCGAAGAAGGACCTCACCCAATGCGGGAGCAGTGCCAGCGTCTTCTTGCTGTCCATAACCACGCGCCCATACTCCAAAGCCCTCGCGACGAAGTCCGCCAGCTCGTGGTACTGCTCAGGGACAAGGGAGCACTGCAGGCTGGCGGTTTGCAGCCTCCTGCTGGCCTTCGCGAGGAACGCGCTGACCCCCATGAAGTGACGCGCCCATCGGCCCGCGACCTTGGCCGCGATGACATCAGGCCCCAATCGGACACGCTGCCCTTGCGGCTTCCACTTGACTGGCGCCAGCTTGGTCGCAATGGGCCCCGCACGTCCTTCGAACCGCCTGCGCGCTTCGCCAACCTGGTCGTAGCGGTCCAACAGCTCCTGCTCCAAGGTGCTGACGACGGCGTCCCAGGCTGCTGGCAGCTCCTCGGCGCTGGTTGTGGCGCGCACCTGGGCCAAAGTGGGCGCCCAGTCCTCGACACCGCGGCTGCAGCCGATGGGCGGCACCGCTGGAATCGCCCTGGGGGCGATCGGGATCCTCACGCGCATGTCCAGGTCGGCGGCACGCAGCTCCATGTTGACAGGGAGGTGCGGGGAGGTGATGCCCAACTCATCCACTCTCGGAGCCGAGATGCGGCTGGCCAGGTTTGCACCGACCAGAAAGTAGTCCAGCACCGAGCCGCTGCCCGCCTGTGGGCGGCAGGTGTCGGCCGACGGCGCTAGCCAGAGGCCCCCCGCCTTTTCCAACTGCGCCAGGGGCAGGCAGCTGGGAGGCCCATTGAAGTCGCCGCCGACGATCCAATCGATGCCCGAGGCCGTGAGCTTCGTGAGGTAGCGAGTGAGCGCGCCGAAGATGCTTCGGTTCACGTCGTTCATGCCAACGCTGTCGACCAGGTAGGCCGACACGAAGACAATGCCGCCACGGACTCCCCAGTGCACGTGGGCGGCCACCAGTCGCCCTGGCCACAGTGTCGCCGAGGGCAGCAGCGGCGGGGCCGTGACGGGGATGTTCTTGCGGGCCAAGACCGCGACGCCGCCCGTAGTGCCCTCCGCGGAGGTGGGGCCTGCCACTGCTGGCGCCCAGATGCCCGCGAACCCGTGATCCAGCACCTCGTGCTGCAGGTCGGCGAGCTTCGCCTCGTCCCGTCGGTGATGCTCCTGGACGAGAACGACGTGCGACTCGAGGGTCTCTAGGCACGGCGCCAATGAACCCCAGGAAGTCACGTTGCTGGTAGTGATAGTGCCTTTCGCCATCGCAAGTGTGCAGGACATCGCGATGATGAGCTTAGTAAGGATTGAAGCCCCTGACGGCCAGCTCCGTGGCGCGCGCCAGCATGGCGTCGCTGGTCTCCTCTGCTGGCCCTGGCGAGAACTCCGCCATGGTCTGCCGCAGCTTCTCGGGCTCCATCGCGGCGGGATCCCAGCGCGGCGCTGCGGCTGCAGGGGCGGCGCCGCCTGCAGTGCCTGCGCCATGCGCGGCGGCGGCGGCGTCGTCTCCCTCGACGGACGCTGCAGGGGTGCGAGGGGCGCTCGCTGCCTCCGTGGCGGCGGCCCGCTCGCGCTGCCGCCGCAGCATGAGCTCCTGGAGGGGCCCGCCGAGCGCCGAGGCCAGCCGCTGCGGCAAATCGCCCGCGGTCTGCATGGTGTCGTCGGGGTGAGCGGCCAGAGCACCGCTGAGAGCCTGCGCCAGGTCGCCGAGGGTGAGGCCGCCCGTGTTCTTGATGACGTCGTGCTCCATGGACTGCCCAGGCGGACGATCCTCTGGCGCGACTGGGACCTGCTGCTGGAGTGCCGACTGCTCCGCCTGGAGGGCCACCTGCTGCGCCTTGAGCTCTCTGACACCATGCCGCTTGAGCTCCAGCTCGTCTTGCGCCTTCTTGACACGGTCCTCCGCCTCGCGCTCGGCCAGCTCCATCTTGCTGAGTTTGTCCGCCAGATTCTTCTGCCTGTGGGCCAGCGCCTGCACCCGCGCGTGGAGCGGCTTGGCGGCGAAGAGCCTGTCCTTGGCGGCGGCGAGCCTGCGCTTGAGATCCTCCCGCGGGCCCGTGGCCCAGTCGTGCTGCACGTCCTTGAGCGTGGCCAGGCCTGCCTCGCACACCTTGATCTCGCTCGCAGCCGAGGCGTCCTCGCCTGACTTGCCGTCGTCCACGTGCATGGCCGCGGCCCCGCCCTGGTCGGACTCCTGCGTACGAAGCTTCTTCCTGGCAGCGTCGAGCTCCGCCCGCATGGCCGCGAGCTCGCCCTCGAGCTTGCCCTCGGCCGTCCACGGGGCCCGCTTCTTGCCCTTGGCTGGGGCCCGCATCGAGGGCTCCTTCGGCGGCACAGGCCCGCCGTACACGTCCTTCTTGTGGAGCCTGCACCCTTGGCACTTGAGCGAGGTCCCGAAGTTGATGAGCGGCTTGCCGCGCTTCGTCGTACAGCTCCTGCAAGCCCAGTCCTGGCGTTCCTTTCGGCCGGCGCCAGCCATGGTGCTGCAGTCTGCACTTGGGATCGAGAAGGGGCTGTCGGGCTCAAGAGCCCTGGCACTGGCCGCGGACTAGCGGTATCCACTTGTTCCCCTGTGGAACTAGGCATCTTGAGCCAAAATGGCTACGGAGGGGGAGGAGGAGGAGGAGGAGGAGGAGGAGGAGGAGGAGGAGGAGGAGGAGGAGGAGAAGGAGGAGGAGGAGGAGAGGGAGGAGGAGGAGGAGGAGGAGAAGAAACAGGATGAATTAGAGTAAACCCCGGATGCATCAACGAAGCTGCAATGCGCCTGTCCGTCCCAAGCTCGGGAGTTTTTTTTTTTTTTTTTTTTTTTTTTTTTTTTTTTTTTTTTTTTTTTTTTTTTTTTTTTTTTTTTTATATATTAAAAAAATAATTTTTGTTTATTTTTTCTTTTTTTTGTTTTTACAAACTCTCCTCTGGTTGGGTATTCTCTTTGAACAGAGCACTGCTCGCGCGTCCTTCCTCCTCCTTCCCGCCTCCCTCCTGCCTCCTCTTTTTTGTTGTTTCGTTCCCTCTCTCTCTACCTTTATTCCCGACCCTCCTTTTTGGGGGTTCGTTTTGAATGGAGCACTGTGGTCTCCACCTCCTCCACCTCCTCCCGCCTCCCTCCTTCCTTCCTCTCTCTCTCTCTTTCTCCTTCTCTCTCTCTCTCTCTCTCCTCTTGTTTCGATCCTCTCTCGTACTTGCCTCCGACTTTGCCATCTGGGGGGCTGCGATCGGCGAAGCTGTCGCCACTTTCGAGGGCTGCTGGTGGGGCCAGCACAGAGACGTCCTACCCAGATTCAAATTAGACCTCACCATCCTTGGGGGGCTTCGATCTGCGAAGCTGTTGGCACTTTCGAGGGTTGCTGGTGGTGCCAGCCCAGTGACGTCCTACCTAGATTCAAATTCGACCTCGCTGTCTCTGGGGGGCTGCGATCTGCGAAACTGTCGCCACGTTCGAGGGCTGCTGGGGGGGCCAGCACAGTGACGTCCTTTCCAGATTCGAATTAGACCTCGCCACCCCTGGGAGATTGCGATCTGTGAAGCTGTCGCCACTTTTGAGGGCTGCTGGGGGGCCCAGCATAGCGACGTCCTATCCAGATGCAAATTAGACCTCGCAACGCCTGGGGGCTGCGATCTGCGAAGCCGTCGCCACTTTCGAGGTCTGATTTGACCTCGCCACCCCTGGGGGACTGCGATCTGCGAACCTGTCGCCACTTTCGGGGGCTGCCGGGGGGGGCAGCACAGTGACGTCCTCCAGATTCAAGTTTGACCTCGCCATCGCTTGGGGGGCTTCGATCTGCGAAGCTGTCGCCAGTTTGGAGGGCTGCGGGGGGGGGGGCCAGCACAGTGACGTCCTTTCCAGATTCAAATTAGACCTCGCCATCCTTGGGGGCTGCGATCTGCGAAGCTGTCGCCACTTTCGAGGGCTGCGGGGGGGGGCCAGCACAGTGACGTCCTTTCCAGATTCAAATTAGATCTCGCCATCTCTGAAAGCGTATGGTAGATGCTGATGATAAACCAGTTTATCTCATCCACGGCCCCGCGCGGGCCACGAGCTATCTGCGGGGGCGCCAGGCGCCCAGTACAACAAGCTCTAAAGGCCGGCCTTGCGGGCCGAGACGGGCAGCGGGCAGCGAGCAGCGGGCGAGAGGGCAGAGGCAGGTGCACTCAGAGGGGGAAGTAGACGAGGTACTGGTAAGAGAGGGTCAGGGCTAGGCGGGCTCCAGAGGGGTCCTCGGGTACACCTCCAGGGAATCTCAGACTCATTATTTTTCTTTTGTAGCTCTGACCATCTCAGTCATCCTGCAAGTCTTCTTCTCGAACTCCTGCGGCCGAACGTTCACGTCGTAGTCGATCAGCTTCAGCTCGATCGGGTTTAGCAACTGACTTCCGTGCGGCCCTCTGTGATCTCTTCTTCTCCTTTATCTTCACTGCAGCCTGATCCTGCTGGATCGTGATCTGATTCGTCCTCAAGTAATGTCGGAAATAGTCCAGATCAACTCCCTCTTTCGTAAGAATATCCGCCAGATTCTGTAGTCCATCCACCCAACGTAGTGTCGTGTTTGGTTGCCTCAAAGCCTCCTTCAATAACGCTCCTTCTATTGCCATCCGCTTGTCTCGGCTAAGGCCTGATCCTTCTTTCGTCAAATAATCATGCACCGACTCGGCATCAGTCAAGAAAACTCTGCTTCTTCTCGCCACGATCTTCTGCCAATCCTTCAAATCGATCTTCGGATTGAACACCTCCTCAAGTAAAACACACAGCCATTCACCAGCCTCCAGTGAATCTGCAAGATGTGAGGCTTCAGCTGCAAGTGTGCTCCGGCAAACTCTCTGTGTCGACTTAGAACAGTAATCCATCATAGCTGCGGTCACCAGCTTCCCCGACAACACGTCGTGGTCCACTATGAAGAGAAAATGACCACCGATGCTCTTGTATCTCGCGATCTCGTCACTCTCGGGGTTGCCGTTCGCGTGTCCTGAATCACATTCAATCAAGACCGTAGCTCGACTGAGGTCGATACCCTTCGGAAACTTCTGCATGTAGTCGGCGCCCCTCTTGCCGTCGTTGATGGCCCTGTTGACCTTCACCAGGTCGGCGATGCACGGCGCTACCATGGCTCGTTGAGCTTGTCCCGCTTGAAAGGCTAGATCTGCTCGAAGCTGCCTCGACAACCAAGATATCTCTCCCGTAGCCTTCCGTAGCCGTGTCACTTCGTCGTCGGTCAGCGGGCTCGTCAGTTCCTTCTTCCGTTCTCGAGGGATCGGAACCGTCTTCATGTTCAGCGAGTAGCCCTTCATCGTTACTCCAACATCGCCGTTCGGTAAACGTTGTATCTCACGTCCTCTGAAAACAAAATCCTCTTTGAGCCATTTCGAGAAATTCAGCTTCTGTCTCGTGCATCTGAAGGCCGTATCCTCGTATTTCTTTAAAACTCCAGCCAGCAAATCATCCACGTGAGTGCATAGAATACCAATCAGAGCGCCTGCTCTGTCGCGTAAGTAAAATAAAGCTGGTTCCAAAACAGACTGAACCCATCCGTCCTTCTCCAATACTTCGCAGAAAGCCAACCAAAATAAACGAGCAGCCTCAGCAAACCCATATATCGCCTTCTTGGCCCTCAACAGTTGTCTCGGATGTAGTCCCTTTAAACCTCCACGCGGCTGGCTGATGTAGATCTCGCGTCCTATACCTCGACCTGAGAAATAGGCGTTCTTGATGTCTCCGCAGCTCATCACCATACCCATACTGGCGATCACGAGCAGCACCATTGCCTCCGCCAACTTCGATGCTGTTGGCGCATCTCTCCGATACTCGCCGAGGCTCTTGTCCTTGAAGCCCTGGACCACCATCCTCGACTTCGCCTCGAACTCGGCGTCCAGAACGCCCTCACTCTTATTGGTTCTCACCCACTTGGCCGGTATGATCAGGTCGCGCTTGGTCTCCCAGATCTGCTCACTCTCGCCGAGGCTCAGCGTGTCGCAAGCATCCAGATCTTGCCAGGCCTTCCACTCCTTCTCATCCGAACCTCCAGGTCCGATAAATAACTGTCGCTTTGCCTCGTCGAGCTCCTTCAAGTGTAACTCTTTTCTCCCCTTCTTCGCCACTGTCGAGCCAGCCTCATAGGAGTACTCGAACTCGTTACGCTCGACGCCAAAGACGAAAACCTCCTTGCTGACCTCGTGCTCGGCGTAGAAGGACTGGTTGACGTCATATGCCAGGTAGGCCTCGTCGATCATAGAGTCCATATCCTCGTAGACCTGAAAGGCGTCGTCCGTCTTGA